ACTAATATGTCGACTGACAACTTACAGACTATTAGGTCAAATTCAAATTACCTCAGGTCATGCTGCTTCAACCAATCCAGAGTTGAAAAGAGTTAGCAGTATTTGTCAATGACTGACTATTCATCCTGACATTGATCGATCATAGTTATCTGAATGCACAAATCTACGAAAATTACAGAGTTACTCAGTAAAATTGGAAAACCATATCGTAAATCGTTCATTTGCAAAATAACAGTTCATCATATCGAACTGGACTGTTCCTGTTGCAAAACATCAATCCATTGTCACTACTATTCATGCGTTTCATACAAATTCCATTGTGTTCTAACACTTCCTTTCTTGATCTTTCCCCATCTTCAGCTGCCAGACATTACGTTGACGCTCACGTCATATACTACTTATAAGTAGCTCGCACCGCAGCACCACACTCCGTGTATCTGTTCATATAACCTTATTATCACAGTTGTTTTACGACATTCGGTTGTTCATTTACTTTACTTGTCTCTCTACCACGTAGAGTTGAAGTGATCTCTATTCACCTAATCAAACATCGTTTTTTCTTATTCACAAATAGTTTACTAATATATTTACTTAATTAGATATTTTTAAATAACTTTGTCCAAGGTCACATCTATTGATAAATGAGTGCACTACCTTTGCTTTATAGTTGCACTTGTCGTTTAATTAATTTAAGCATCTTGCACGTCGATGTTACTTTATCAGACAGACACACACATACAAACACACTCACAACGTGTAACTAGTTTTCACATTCCGACTCATCTCACCATACGAAAGGCATATAAATATATAATTAGGAACAAGTTAAATGGTGAAAGATTGAAGTAAACGTTGTGTAATCTAACGATTATAGTTTAATACATAACAAGTAACTATCAGAACAAAATGAAGGAAGGCAACGATGTTGCGCCGGTTATTGAAAATCAACCACCACATAGCACCAACAAACCGAAGGTGGAGGATGAAGTAAATGATAAACGTAAGTATTCTGAGAAGTTCGATAAGATTTTAACAGACAGCGACACTGTAATCAAGCATGAATCAAAATCACCGGTGAATAATTCTCAGTCAGAGGAGAGTAATAAACTCACAAATGACGATCTAATTGACTCGGACCAAACTAGAGCTCGTATTAAAAAATTCGTTCCAATGGGAATGGTAATTGTATTTGTGACTGTGTTATATGTTTTCTTCATCACCTATTTTGCGTGCATTTATCATGGACAAAAATCTCCAACCATACCATCATTACCATTCTGGAAATCTACAGTTGGTTACTGGTTAGATGTGTTTGCATTCAAAGATTCTTCTGGTGATTTAGTTGGTGATCTTAAAGGTAATGAATATATTAGTGTATAAATTGATTGTCACTCAAACTATTCTCATTCTATAGGTCTCACATCTGAAATTGATTATATCAAAACTGTAATCGGTGCAGGTTATGTGATACTCGGTCCCATCACAAAAGGCTTTTACACTAATTCACACAATATGCTCGGATTAGTGGATGACTATGAACAGTTAGATGAAGCTGTTGGTACAATGGATGACTTTCGTGCTCTTTTGAAACAATTTCATGAGAAAGATGTTAAAGTCATCTTGACACTTGATTTCAATGCCATATCTATCGATCACAAATGGATTCAAGAGAGTAAAGTCAAAATGAAGTCATTCGAAGATCCCTACAACAATAAGGTGAAATCGTTGTTTTTCTCCAAATGATCGCCTTATCTTTTAAACTCACTTACAGATGTCACGTTACGGCAAGCCAATCGATGTAGATATTGGTGGAAAGAAATTCTATTCTGTATTCGGTGCACCAAATGTCGATTTGGATCTGACTGATCCCGATACTCAGAAACAGATATTTGTAAGTTTTTAAATGAATACATTTAACTAAACATAACTACAATAGAATGTGATCGACCATTGGATGGAAAAGGGTATAGATGGAATTCTTTTGGAAAATGCAGCATTTTTTGTTGAAGAAGAGGAAAATGTAAAAAGAGAGGTAAGTTATTGACATTTTAATGAAATACTGAACTGCTGTGTTACTCTGTCTACTCTTCACTCTACTCTACTCTTCCTTATCTTTCATTATTTTTAGCCAAATTCCAACTGGTTACAAAATTGTCCAAATTCTCAATTGTACAGAAATGGAAGTGTAACATTTGTCAAAGCTGTTAAACAACATTTGAAAAAGTGGATTGTAAGAACTGGGAAAAATAAGTGAGTTCCTTAAATATGATGATCATTAATCTGATCAGAATTTTGTCAATTAAATCTTATTCATGATAGATTTTTGTTCATTTATCAGAGACCTTAAATTTACAAATAGTGTATTGTTTTTCTAACTGAATTAATCGCTCGTGTAGAACAAGTTACATTCGGTAGACAATAGAGAAGTTTTCATTATCATGATTGCCAGCACCTTCATTGTATCAAAACGAAAGTGTAGCCACCACTGTTAGCAGTTCTATTATGAATCAATAGGTGCGAACGGATCCTGAAGTCAAGATGGAACAGAGATTTTCAATAATGTTTTATCGCAACTGTTATCTGTATATGATCTGCCTGATTAAGAGTCCTGCAAACGGTAAAACCAATAGTTGTTCTGGATGAAATGTCTTGATTTTAAATTGGAAATAATTATGTTAGATGGCTTCTTTTATACTCACCTACTTCTTGCCCAACAAGTCGATTGCCATTTAGATGAAAAACATGACATAATTCGCCCGATGTACAAATAGTCTTCCCTTTTTGATATGCTTTGAGCTATTACGAGTTCACCTCAGTCGGTAAACGGAGCGAAGACAAGTGATCCAGTGACACGCCCGGTTAATTATATCAAGAAGTCTTGATAAGGCGTATAATGTGTATTCTACAAGCACCCAGAAAATACGAGGTCGATAAACACACACATCGATATAAACTTCCTTGAGAGAATCACAAAAATAGTGATAACATGATTCTGGCAAACATCTGACATATCGAAAATAATTAGACACGCTTTAGAAAAGTGCGACCTTCGATTTAGAGTGTGTGTACACTTTAGCCGTGGACCATTGAACCAGTATAAAATGATGTTGATGTCTGAAGTCAATGAATTCATGAATTTTCGCAATCACTGATTCATTGTCTGTAGTAGGTAACTGTGGTGTCGCACAATTCACACTCGATTGAACTCTTCATATTGAAGCTACTCACCATTAAGCAAATGATGGGAATTTTGCAGAAAGAGGAATAAGCTAACCATTTTCTTATCTACACATTGAGATCAATGAATAAATGAAGTTTATTTAACATATGTAATAGAGATAGTTATAACATTAGCCACTGACTACAGATTTCAATTTCATACGATTTATGTAAATTACCTCGAACAATCATGCTTTTTGCCCACAAAATATCTTCTACAGATTGTTGGCTGTAAACTCAGGTGATACAGGTTGTGGTGTGGGTAATAATTCCGATCCAATGTTGATGTTCAAAGATGTGGTTGATTTGATAATCAGTCGTGAATTCGTGTTCCAAAGGGGTCAAACTGAAGGCGCGATATCATATAGCGATACAGATGTAAGGAAGCTTTCTTCATATTCACACTCGGATAGGGCAAAGTTAGGATTGACGACAACTACTTCAACTAATGCACCAGTTACAGATTTCATTCAAATGGCATCAACATTGTTATCACAAGGTATGTGAACATTATTATGACATCGTCTAGTTATATTCATATTATTTCACATATCACTACTGTACAACTCCTTAGGACAGTTTTTCAATTCTAGTCTTCGAATGCTTATTCGCATCTCCATCAACCACTGAATACAAATTCATAATCATGAGACACTTCAAATCAGGATCGATGGTTAATATTTCAGTTTGACAATATATTTCGAATGTGTAAACAAACTAATCTCCATAACTCTAATTGAAAATATCGTAAAATGTGCTTACCAGTGACTAGCCTCGTGAGGAAATTCTCCGAGTTCTCGTGAGATGACGTGACCAGTGGAGTTCAACCCTGTCGGATGTAGGCAGAAACTTCCAAAGACAAATGGATGAGGTCGGGCAAAATCCCTAGATCATTCAGAGTTAGACATTATCACCGTTATATACCGACTCAGTGGTCCAGAGGTTAGGCGTTCACGCACAATACCATTGGTCCTGCGTTTGAATCCTGCGAGTAGCAGGAGTCGTGGATGCGCACTGCTAATGGGTCCCGTACCAGGACGAAACGGCCATATTTCAGTGCTTCTAGATTTCTAATGGTGGTCTAACAAAGATTGACTGATGATTTCAAATGTATAAAAACACTAATCTCCATAAATCTAATTGAAAATATTGTACAAGTACTTCGGTCACGAAATGACTGCTTGAATTGATATACACTACAACATGTCACAATGAACGATTATCAGAACACAACTTTCAACTGCCTGCCACTCTCAGTACAAACCGTCAGTCCATCTACTAGTGAATATGTATTCAGGAAGACATCATCATCCTCCCCCTCGAGATTAACGATTTTCTCAGACGTTTTAATCGAACCTTGTACTGTGAACACACACGTTGTATTGAATATTAGATCATGAAATAAAGTAAGAAGTGTCTGATGTCTAATCTATGAAATGCTTGTTATTGAGGCGATTACACAGCTCATTGCATTTACCTTACTCAACTATCATACAGTATATTTATTATTTAATATTTGGTTATATTTGGTAGGAATGCCAATCATTTATTATGCAACTGAGATTGGTATCACCAACTTGAATTTAGTTCAAGTTCCAAAAACAATTTATCCAAAAGACAAGTCTTACAATAATGACGGTAAACATCAATCGTTACGATCTCATTTACCAATGCCATGGGATTTAAGTGGGAAAAGGTTTTCCACAGCTATAAATGATGCCATTTTCACTGACTATTTAAATCTTTATGGAAATGTGTCTGTTGTTGAAGTAAGTAGTGTGATATAGTTAGCAGTGACTATTTGTTATGCATTTTTCCCATTCACAACCTCTATCTGTAATATACTGAAAATGTTGATTTATTCAAAACCATGTCATCCAATAGAAATAATGATTGACAGATTTCATTGAACATTTGTCGACTACTCATGCATGGAAATCGTTATTGCAAATGATCTGCCTACTTTAACAAACATAATTTGTACTTTCGATTTGACAGAAAAAAACAATAGTTGAAGTAAACAGGATGCAATAAGATTGATTAGTTAGCTGTTTAGTATTTGGAAAATACAAATCATGTACACATTTGTTAAGGTAGTATTAAGCTAATCGACTCATCAATTGTAATGAACATTTGAAGTGTGCGAATGGTATTCAAGGTCTACACACTAGTAAATCGGATGACTGTTATACACTGAAAATTGAAGAAACTAGTATGAAAACTGCAATCACATGTACGTTGATCACGTTTACAATACGTAATCAATACAATGAACAGAATACAATCAGTGTAGGCATCGATAAATTGCAGGAAATGGCATTTGAATTCATATACCTAAAGCGATCTCAATTCATATGACAATAAGACTTGAAGTGACTGATGATGAAATAATGCTGATGATTGTAGAATTCGTAGAATAAGTCAAATCAACTTAAACTCTGGTTTCAGCTTGTATTCATGAATGGATTTACATGGTTAATAGTTTAGTCTTCAATTCACTTCATCTATCGCTTCAGAAAATGTACTTCTATATTGATTGACACACACATACACACAGGTTTTGTTTGGTAATGAACATGTTCAGTGAAATCGAACAATGCACTGATTCAATTGATCATACCGTATAACAGTTCTTATTTCGGTTGACAGAAATAGTTGAGCTATATAGTAGTACTGTTGTGATACAAACAGTTTCATAAAACCAACTGACTACAACAATTCTCTTTTCTTTGAAGACTGAACTTGCTGAGAGAAACAATCAATCAAATATTCGTCTCATTCAAAAATTGGTGGCTTTACGTCAGAAACCAAGTATGAAATGGGGAAAAATGGAGCATATACGTGTGAATGGAGTAAGTGTTTTCAAAGTTCATACATATATATCAAACAAAATACCTCTATTTAAATAGTTTTACCAAATCTCGAACACTTTGAGTTGATGTTAATATTCACAGAGGGGAAAATAGTGTTGTTTATCAACATTTTAGCAATTCGTTAGTTCGAAATTTTTATCACCTTGTATTCTTTTGTGGTGACCCATTTCAACGGCGAGCTCACCATTTTGTTTACACTGGCGAGCGAATGAGTGACTGAAGCAAATCGTATGAAGCGATGTGGAGAAGCAGTGAATAAAACGAATGAAGAGACGTGAATTAGATAAGCGCGTTGTAGAATGGTAATGAGCCAACTCCGAGGAATACAATTCGAACGAATCGGCGAAGGAAGCGAATAAACAGGCGAAGCGCGTTCGAGAAGGCCAATGAGCCAACTCAAAGGAATAGAGCAGACTAAGAATATATAGTCAGACAAAAATAAGACTGACATGTGATCAACGAGATGAGGATGCAAACACATGTATAAAATCGATGAATAGTTGACAAGGTCAAATGATAAGTAAAACACGTCACGTGAGCTCGTACAAACCAGACAATAATAAGAATGAATGGTACATATAAATTGTTGCAATACAAATGGCTTGGTTCAAAATAAATTACTCGAAAGCGCCTAACCAATTTAGATGTAAGCGAACTGGAATATCAATTAGGAAATGTAATGTTCGTTCATTCATTCAGTCATTCAGTCAGTCATTCGTTATCTTCTCTCAACTTGATAACACAAATTTAGAAGGTAAATTCCATTACAAATGAGCAGTAGTAAACCTGTGTTAATCTCCCATTATCACTTGCTTGAACATAGTTATTCAAATGAGCTTACTTACTTACTTACTTACTTACTTACTTACTTACTTACTTACTTACTTACTTACTTACTTACTTACTTACTTACTTACTTACTTACTTACTTACTTACTTACTTACTTACTTACTTACTTACTTGCTTGTTTATTTACTTACTCACTTACTTACTTACTTATTTACTTATGCACTTACTAAATAATTACTCCTGTTGCCCATGTTGACCACCATTCTCCAGTCCACTATATCATGGGCTAACATTACAAGAAATATCTAATTCAGTTACAGTTGCTTCTTCGATAAAGTATCAAACATATAGTTCCAAATGCAGTCGTTCCTAAGGCTGCAAAGTTAAAATTGCCTCTGCTTAGATCCAAGAACTATTTTACACCTTATATGTGAATACTAACAGCAACAAAAGTCCACTGTTCTAAGAATAGTTACAAACACACATTGCCAATCATAAAAAATGACTCGTTTTTTACAGAAGTTGCAAAGTATGCAACTCAAAAGTGGTTGACATCTACAAGTCTGTTTTGAGATCTGTGTAAAGAGGGTTCAATTTAGTGTGAGATTATTTAACTCCTAAGTGGCTTACTGTATGAAACATCCAGCTCACAGAACGAAATAACACCACGAATTAGGATAAAGTTGAGGTTGAGTAAACGATTAACAAAGCAAATCAATTGAAGTTTAGATGTGTTAAACTGAAATTTCCATTTTGAGTACTACTGTGCTAACTCATAGAGATTCATACTGTCACAGTTTCGCATACTGTTCAGCATATAAGAAAGAGAAAACTGAATACACCACTATAGGATTGTCTGAATACAGAATAGGCCTGCCTGTCTTAAGGAAATCACTTTCCATTATCTCAGAGATAAGTGCAATAATATTTCTGAGTCAACAATAGTTCGGGTGGAACTTATCTCAAGATTTGCACCATAGTATGATGTATTTGGCTTTCGAACGGTAATATTTAGTTCCTGTTCCCAGAGCAGCTGGATAAGAAAGAGCAAACCGATTTGAAGATGATGGAATATCAGGTCCACTACATTTGGATTGAGTGTATCTAATTCCTTTCTCTTCAATATTCTTTGAGACGTTCATAGAGGCTTTGGGTTCACTAATTTTGAGATCACTGAATGCCATCGATTTTAAGAAGTTATTGGAAATAAGTAGCAGGTTTCATGCATTTCAGACAGTATTAGAAACTGACTACTCCTCAGTATTTGCTTTCAATCTATGAATTACTTTCAAAGGACTAAAATTCATGAATATTTCTGAAGCTAATGTGAAATCATTTGATTCAAATTGAAAGTTTCTGCATGTGTCTTAATGTATTACTTTATTTAACTGGCATAAATAATGCATTCGTCCTTAGAGCTCTGTACATTTTCAGAGGTGCGAATGGATCAAAACACGTGATCTGATCAAATACTTCAATGAGTTCCATACCATTATTATTCGACAACAGGGAATGTAGATGAGAATATCTTATCAGGGTATTCAGGAGGTATTTAGATGGCCTCAGTCAGCACGTCTGTTGTATTTATAATGACTGCTTATTTTTGTATAGAAAGGCTATCAGATGTGTATGCAGAGAGAGCACTACCTTCTATTTCATTGTAATCTTGTATAGATGGCTGGACGTCCTCTCTACAGAATATTAGATAATTTTTATTAAACCACTTAATGTTGGAGTGTGAATTCACTGTGACTAACAGAACATGTTACGTGTCGATAAGACTTCATCATGTCATAACTGATCGGTGCAGATATTCCGATAAATTCCATGGTAGTTGACACCTTCTTCTCTATAGACTATCCTATTGAAATTTAGGGAAGAATTATGTACCTACGCACACCAACATGTATGTCGCTCATGAATCATGTTCGTTAATGTGAAGCCAATAGTCAAGTAGAAAGCATACATTTCTTTGACCCATGTCTCATACACCCAAACACAGATGACAAACATGCACACATGTAAATAGAACAACAACTGAGTTCCTATACATTTAACTCAGAAAATCGATGTAAAATTGGTCATTGTACATTGAAATACATTACTGTAAATCTAAACAAACACTCAGATATTTATTTCAAAATTCACATGAATCAATAATATAATCACATGGATCTGGACGATTTAACATTCAACAAATAATGTTTTTGCTCAATATTCTATAATCTCAAACAATTCGAAAGCGAAATTCATCATTAACAACAACATATTCAACATGTCAGAGCGTTTTTTCCAATAAAAATAATAATTAATTACACACTGCAAACAATTTTTAAATGAAAATCAATGGATGAACAAAAATAAACTACAGAAAGTTAAGTAAGAATATCAAATTAAAAGGGTGTACAAATGACAAACGATAATCAGTTATGAATTAAGATCAAAATGTTGATTTGGAGTAAATATGAATTGAATGTTCAATTGGATTGATCAGTCACATTCAAACACAAAAATACGCCTCTGTTTAATTTCCATTGACATGTTAATTCTGGAATGGGATAATGTAATGTCAACTGGGAAATTCGGACTTGAAGGATGAATTATTCTCGGTGTAACTGATGAACCTCTGAAAATGTACAGAGCTCTAAGGACGAATGCATTATTTATGCCAGTTAAATAAAGTAATACATTAAGACACATGCAGAAACTTTCAATTCGAATCAAATGATTTCACATTAGCTTCAGAAATATTCATGAATTTTAGTCCTTTGAAAGTAATTCATAGATTGAAAGCAAATACTGAGGAGTAGTCAGTTTCTAATACTGTCTGAAATGCATGAAACCTGCTACTTATTTCCAATAACTTCTTAAAATCGATGGCATTCAGTGATCTCAAAATTAGTGAACCCAAAGCCTCTATGAACGTCTCAAAGAATATTGACGAGAAAGGAATTAGATACACTCAATCCAAATGTAGTGGACCTGATATTCCATCATCTTCAAATCGGTTTGCTCTTTCTTATCCAGCTGCTCTGGGAACAGGAACTAAATATTACCGTTCGAAAGCCAAATACATCATACTATGGTGCAAATCTTGAGATAAGTTCCACCCGAACTATTGTTGACTCAGAAATATTATTGCACTTATCTCTGAGATAATGGAAAGTGATTTCCTTAAGACAGGCAAGCCTATTATGTATTCAGAAGATCCTATAGTGGTGTATTCAGTTTTCTCTTTCTTATATGCTGAACAGTATGCGAAACTGTGACAGTATGAATCTCTATGAGTTAGCACAGTAGTACTCAAAATGGAAATTCCAGTTTAACACATCTAAACTTCAATTGATTTGCTTTGTTAATCGTTTACTCAACCTCAACTTTATCCTAATTCGTGGTGTTATTTCGTTCTGTGAGCTGGATGTTTCATACAGTAAGCCACTTAGGAGTTAAATAATCTCACACTAAATTGAACCCTCTTTACACAGATCTCAAAACAGACTTGTAGATGTCAACCACTTTTGAGTTGCATACTTTGCAACTTCTGTAAAAAACGAGTCATTTGTTATGATTGGCAATGTGTGTTTGTAACTATTCTTAGAACAGTGGACTTTTGTTGCTGTTAGTATTCACATATAAGGTGTAAAATAGTTCTTGGATCTATGCAGAGGCAATTTTAACTTTGCAGCCTTAGGAACGACTGCATTTGGAACTATATGTTTGATACTTTATCGAAGAAGCAACTGAAACTGAATTAGATATTTCTTGTAATGTTAGCCCATGATATAGTGGACTGGAGAATGGTGGTCAACATGGGCAACAGGAGTAATTATTTAGTAAGTGCATAAGTAAATAAGTAAGTAAGTAAGTGAGTAAGTAAATAAACAAGCAAGTAAGTAAGTAAGTAAGTAAGTAAGTAAGTAAGTAAGTAAGTAAGTAAGTAAGTAAGTAAGTAAGTAAGTAAGTAAGTAAGTAAGTAAGTAAGTAAGTAAGTAAGTAAGTAAGTAAGTAAGTAAGTAAGTAAGCTCATTTGAATAACTATGTTCAAGCAAGTGATAATGGGAGATTAACACAGGTTTACTACTGCTCATTTGTAATGGAATTTACCTTCTAAATTTGTGTTATCAAGTTGAGAGAAGATAACGAATGACTGACTGAATGACTGAATGAATGAACGAACATTACATTTCCTAATTGATATTCCAGTTCGCTTACATCTAAATTGGTTAGGCGCTTTCGAGTAATTTATTTTGAACCAAGCCATTTGTATTGCAACAATTTATATGTACCATTCATTCTTATTATTGTCTGGTTTGTACGAGCTCACGTGACGTGTTTTACTTATCATTTGACCTTGTCAACTATTCGTCGATTTTATTCATGTGTTTGCATCCTCATCTCGTTGATCATATGTCAGTCTTATTTTTGTCTGACTATATATTCTTAGTCATGGTCTATTCCTTTGAGTTGGCTCATTGGCCTTCTCGAACGCGCTTCGCCTGTTTATTCGCTTCCTTCGCCGATTCGTTCGAATTGTATTCCTCGGAGTTGGCTCATTAGCCTTCTCCAACGCGCTTATCTAATTCACGTCTCTTCATTCGTTTTATACACTGCTTCTCCACATCGCTTCAAACGATTTGCTTCAGTCGCTCATTCGCTCGCCAGTGTAAGCAAAATGGTGAGCCCGCCGTTGAAATGGGTCACCACAAACGAATACAAGATGATAAAAATTTCGAACTAACGAATATCTAAAATGTTGATAAACAACACTATTTTCCCCTCTGTGAATATTAACATCAACTCAAAGTGTTCGAGATTTGGTAAAACTATTTAAATAGAGGTATTTTGTTTGATATATATGTATGAACTTTGAAAACACTTACTCCATTCACACGTATATGCTCCATTTTTCCCCATTTCATACTTGGTTTCTGACGTAAAGCCACCAATTTTTGAATGAGACGAATATTTGATTGATTATTTCTCTCAGCAAGTTCAGTCTTCAAAGAAAAGACAATTGTTGTAGTCAGTATGATTTATGAAACTGTTTGCATTACAACATTACTACTATATGTCTCAACTATTACTGTCGATCGAAATAAGAACTGTCTTATGATATGCTCAATTGAATCAGTGCATTGTTCGATTTCACTGAACATGTTCATTACCAATTAAAACTTGTGTGTGTGTGTGTGTCAATCAATATAGAAGTACATTTTCTGAAGTGATAGATGAAGTGAATTGAGCGCTAAACAGTTTACCATGTAAATCTATTCATGAATACAAGCTGAAACCAGAGTTTTGGTTGATTTGACGCATTCTACGAATTCTACAATCATCAACATTAGTTCATCATCAGTCACTTCAAGTCTTATTGTCATATGAATTGAGATCGCTTTAGGTATATGAATTCAAATGCCATTTCCTGCAATTTATCGATGCCTACACTGATTGTATTCTGTTCATTGTATTGATTCCGTCTTGTAAACGTGATCAACGTACATGCGATTGCAGTTTTCATACTAGTTTCTTCAATTTTCAGTGTACAATAGTCATCCGATTTACTAGTGACTAGACACTGAGTACCATTCGCACACTTCAAATGTTCATTACAATTGATGAGTCGATTAGCTTAATACTACCTTAACAAATCTGTACGTGATTTGTATTTTCCAAATACTAAACAGCTAACTAATCAATCTTATTGCATCCTGTTTACTTCAACTATTGTTTTTTTCTGTCAAATCGAAAGTACAATTATGTTTGTTAAAGTAGGCAGATCATTTGCAATAACGATTTCCATGCATGAGTAGTCGACAAAATGTTCAATGAAATCTATCAATCATTATTTCTATTGGATGATATGGTTTTGAATAAATCAACATTTTCAGTATATTACAAATAGAGGTTGTGAATGGGAAAAATGCATAACAAATAGTCACTACTAACTGTAACTATATCACACTACTTACTTCAACAACAGAAACATTTCCATAAAGATTTAAATAGTCAGTGAAAACGGCATCATTTATAGCTGTCGAAAACCTTTTTCCCATTTAAATCCCATGGCATTGGTAAATGAGATCGTAACGATTGATGTTTACCGTCATTATTGTAAGACTTGTCTTTTGGATAAATTGTTTTTGGAACTTGAACTAAGTTCAAGTTGGTGATACCAATCTCAGTTGCATAATAAATGATTGGCATTCCTACCAAATGTAACCAAATATTATTAATAATAAATATACTGTATCATAGTTGAGTAAGGTAAATGCAATGAGCTGTGTAATCGCCTCAATAACAACCATTTCAGTGTTTAGACATCAAACACTTCTTACTTGATTTCATGATCTAATATTCAAAACTACGGGTGTGTTCACAGTATAAGATTCTATTGAAACGTCTGTGAAAATCGGTAATCTTGAGGAGGAGGATGATGATGTCTTCCTGAATATATATTCAATAGTAGTTAGACTGGGGGTTTGTACTGAGAGTGGCAGGCAGTTGGAAGTTTTGTTCTGAAAATCGTTCATTGTGACATGTTGTAGTGTATATCAGTTCAAGCAGAAATTTCGTGATCCAATCACTTTTACTATATTTTCAATTAGAGTTATGGAAAATAGTGTTTTTATACATTTGAAATCATCAGTCAATCTTTGTTAGACCACCATTAGAAATCTAGAAGCACTGAAAGATGGCCGTTTCGTCCTGGTACGGGACCCATTAGCAGTGCGCATCCACGACTCCTGCTACTCGTAGGATTCAAACCCGGCACCTATGGTATTGTGCATGAACGCCTAACCATCGTACCACTGGGTCGGTGTTTATGTCTAACTTTGAATGATCTAGGGATTTTGCCCGACCTCATCCATTTGTCTTTGGAAGTTTCTGCCTACATCCTACAGGGTTGAACTCCACTGGTCACGTCATCTCACGAGAACTCCGAGAATTTCCTCACGAAGCTAGTCACTGGTGAGCACATTTTATGATATTTTCAATTAGAGTTATGGAGATTAGAGTGTTTACACATTCGAAATATATTGTCAAACTGAAATATTAACCATCGATCCTGATTTGAAGTGTCTCATGATTATGAATTTGTATTCAGTGGTTGATGGAGATGCGAATAAGCATTCGAAGACTTGAATTGAAAAGCTGTGCCA